TTTTTGTGAAAAAATTAATTAAAAAGTGGTTTGACTATTTTACCCGTAATTGGAACAAGTGACTCGTGTGTTTAAAAGCTGTTTCATAATAAACCCTAATACGAAGTTGATTTAGCCGACGCAGAAAGAGACCGTAATGTTGTAGTTGATATAGCCGAGAGTCCAGATCCACTGCTACGGTGGTCGTCATCGTTTCCTCGGCCGCCGCAAAATGAAAGGAGGAGCCGAAGAAGACTTAATAAGCTCTCTACCTGATGTGATCCTCTACCATATTCTCTTTTTTATTCCGACCAAATTCGCTTCACTCTTGTCAAAACGATGGAGGCATGTATGGTTGGATACACCTTCTCTCTCCTTCAGTAGGTATGATACACCCAAGGCTGCTTTGGTTAACGAACTCCTAAGTCGCTACATTGTTCCCAAGTTGTTGCGTTTTAATCTCCATACCAACAAGACCAACCATACTCGCCAGCTTCACAAGTGGATCGAGTTCGCCATGTCCCGCAACGTGGAGAATCTGTCCCTGAAGTTCTGGTTTGCCGAGGAGTTTCAAGTTCCTGATTTCTTCTACATCAACTCCTATGTCAAGCAACTCACACTTACACTACACTTGGCTCCCAGAAGCTCTGTGTGTTGGACATCACTCAAGAGCCTGTCTTTGAATTGTTGTAGCCATCTCTCTAATGACTCCATGGCTAAGATTCTGTCTGGTTGTCCGATTCTCGAGTGTTTAAGATTGTCTGAGTGCAATGAAATTACGTTTCTTGATCTCAGCAAATCACTGCGTCTGAGAACATTAGATGTAAAATGTCACAGTTTGGATCCAAAGAAAATGGACATTGTAGCACCACTTGTCCGTTGTCTAAGATTGACAATCACGCAACCATGTACTTTAATTGATATCTCGTCTATAACCGAAGCTAATCTGAACATTGACCTTTCTTTGTCTGAAACAATGGCGAAGCATGATTTTCTTCATCTCATTGTGGTAAAGATGCTAGAGAAGTTGCAGCATGTAGAGAAGCTAACTTTGGGCACAAGCTTTCTTCAGGTACGTTTTAGGGTCATCTTTGCACTTGATGGATTTGTTTTCATTAGGCTTTGATATTATCTATATGTTTAGGAAGGTTTAAATCTGTGTGTTATGTGTGCGGTATATAGTTTCTGATTAATGATTATTTTCTGTTAGGTTTTAACTTTTGCTCAGATTTATGGTGTTCCTTTTCCGATGTTAAAAGTCAAAGCTTTGACACTTGAGACACATATCTCTCAATATGTTATTCCTGGTGTAGAGAAGGTTTTACAAAACTCGCCTGATTTAAAGAAGCTAACAGTACACATAACAATCAATTGCAACACTATACAGGTAAACCTCTTTTATATATTCCTTGGCATAATTCTATTCTAASTAGCTATCATCGAATTTAATTTTTAAATAAGCCAAGATCCATGTGTTTTATTTTCTTCTGTTGTATAGGGATGGTATATTGACAAGGACTTTGATTCACAAGGCTTGAATCCGGATCAATGCTGGAAATCAATAGATGGGGTTAGTTGGAACAAGACCTGTCCAGATGTAGAGTCAAAGCACTTGGTTTCATTCATGGAACATATGCTTCAATACACAAAGGCATTAGAGAAGATGTTCCTATTGGGAAAACGTTACCTTAGGTTTAAAGAAATGGTTCCAGCACTTTCCCACAACAATAAAGTCTCCATTGCATTCTCACGTTAGATGAAATGTGAATCATTGGGTGTAGTTTTGAGTCTTATTGAACATTTTACATGGTGGATCAGTGAAGCTGGCTAAATTTCAAAATTATCTCTTTACTGGTGTAATTACATTATTTTGTTTATCCAGCTCAAGTCTCAACTACCGAATTTAGCCAGCTTGGAGTACAATTTTCAAGAGTGGTATGATAAACTACAAACTGAGTTGAGTGTCTAGCAATAGCATATGCACATGTGTTTGCTGGTATTCCCCGAAACATGAAAAAAGGAAAGAATATTGAAGGTTTGATCCCATCTGCTTTGTTTTTTCAAGACCTTTATATGTTTGTAATGGTGTATATGACTTAATACTGATGATCACTCTTCATCTTCTTCCTAATTATCTTATATAATATATTAAGATTTTTCCAAACACAAGTCATGAGAAGATGTCATGTGTCATCTACTCTTTTGACATTTGTTTTTTAATTTTTTTTATTGAAAACAAATTAAGTATTCTTTAACAATTAATTTTTACAATTTAATAGCTAAGTTTAATGTAAGTGTAACATAAAGATAACCAATTTTAATATAATAAACTAATGAGCCGATAATACTTTAACCATTATCTTTTTTTCTTTTTTTTTTGATATCCACAAAAAACTATAATTCTCAATTAAATGTGTTATTGTGAATTTTTAACGACCATGTGTCATCTACTCTTTTGACTTTTGTCTTTTAATTTTTTTTATTGAAAAAAAATTAAGTATTCTTTAACAATTAATTCTTACAATTTAATAGCTAATTTTAATGTAAGTGTAACATAAGGATGACCAATTTCAATATAATAAGCCAATGAGCCGATAATACTTTAACCATTTTTTTTTTCATATCCATAGAAAACTATAATTCTCAATTAAATGTGTTATTGTGAACTTTTAACGGTTTCAAAAATATATATTTATTTATTAAACATAACAATATACTATAAAAAAACATATAAAATTTTAGATAGGTAACTACTATTTTAAAACAAAAAGTCACAAAAATAAAGTCACAAAATTTTTTAATAAAAAAAATCGTTACATTAACCAAAAAAATGGTTTGAGAAAATTAGTTAGTGATTTTAAGAATTTTAATGTTATTAGAATGCTAAAATTGTCAATTATCTCCTAACCAAGACTTTCGGAAGAAAACCTTATTCCACCACAAATTGTGAATAAAAAAAAAACATAATAATTCACCAATAAATCGATATGAAAGATAAAAATCACTAATTAATTTTCTCACACCATTTCTTAGGTTAATGTAACGATTCTTGTTATTAAAACCTTTTGTGACTTTTTGTATTAACATAGTAGTTACATATCTAAAGTTTTTAATTGCTTTTTTAAT